TATAAAGTCATGCTATAATCTACCTGTCTTGGGAATATTACCGCGGCCATGTGCTTGATGTCTAAACATTGCTTTTGGGCTTATGTTGAACTCTTACGCTAGGTTGCCTAACCAGCAGGAAATCGGAAACTTTAATCGGCAAAGGCAACGGATCGCACGAGCTAACAAAGGCTTGCAGTTATCACACCTAGGTGTTAAGGTTAGTCCAAAGATTAAAAGGAAGTCCATGTGGTATTCTTATCCGTCCCCACATTGACAGACAGCGAGAAGAATATTGATTACTAAGTTTCACAGCGATATCCAATCAGAAATGAGATAGAGGGTGTGATTACAATTCAGACCAGAAGGATACCTTGACGACTTGTAAGAGATAATTTAGCATTCGCCTGAAAGGATTGCAGATCAATAAGGTTTACTCCGAGAGAAGCCACTCGTAATTTGGTGGCAAAACATAGAGTTAGATTCTAAGGAAAGACAAAGCTTCGAAAAGAAGCTTTTCAGGAGACCCAGAACTTCGGGTTCCTTGGGTTCCGAGTCTTCAAGAGTTGGAGACGGAATTGAAGCTATAGTCAAGACAGTCGAAGTCGACAGAAGAGTAGTTGATGGTATAGAAAGTGGAGAGGGAGGAGAAGTTGAGAAAGTCGAGAAGGAAAAGGAAGGAATTTGGAGAAAAGTAGAAGGAGCAAGAGAAGGAAGCGTGAGGATTAAGAGAAGACGTTTTCAACAGCTGAGTAGAAATACAAAGACAGGTGGAAACCAGTCTCACACTGCTAACCAAGTGATGTAATAGGCTTATTAAGGGGTTGAGCGGAAGAAGTGTAATTCAAAATATGAGTCATTTCATTTTTGAATTTTTATTAAATTGTTATTTATCGAATCTCAACCATTTTGTATATTTGACCATCTAACTGTTGGCATTGCTGACTGGGGGCTCGGGGCTTAACTTTCACTAAATTTAACTTCCAACAAAGTAGAGTCTGGGTGGGACTTTTATAACAGTTTAATAAAACAATGTGTACACCCACCCCAACCATAACAATTATCACAAGAATGAAATTTGTCACATCTAGTTGGTAGCTGAAACTTCCACCGTCATCATAATAGTGGGTCATAAAGTCATAATAACAAATCATGACATCATAATAGTGGGTCATAACATCATACTAGTGGGTCATAACATCATAGTAGTGGGTCATAACGTCGTAATAGTGGGTCATAACGGCACAATAGTGGGTCATAACGACATAATAGAATGGCTCAAAACATCATAAAAGTGGATCATAACGTCATAATAGTGGGTCATAACATCATAGTAGTCGGTCATAACATCGTAATAGTTTGTCATAACGGCATAATCATGGCGACATAATAGAATAGATCATAATATCACAATTGTGGGTCAAAACATCATAGTAGTGGGTCAAGACGTCATAATAGTGGGTCATAACGGCGTAATAATGGGTCATAACATCATAGTATTGGGTCATAACTTCGTAATAGTGGGTCATAACGTCGTAATAGTGGGTCATAAGGTCGTAATAGTGGGTCATAACGGCATAATAGTGGGTCATAACGACATAATAGAATGGATCATAACCTCATAATAGTAGGTCATAACATGATAATAATGGTCATAACATCATAATAGTATGTCATGCTATCATAACAGTTTGTCATAACATCGTAATAGTGGGGCATGAAACCTTAATAGTGGGTTCATATATCTCATAGAATGGATGATAGAGAAAAAAATTCACTCGACAATAATTCAATCAAGTTGGATGAACAAACGAGTTTCCTCTCCGAATACTTCATTTCTTGTGACGCTTTATTTATTAAATGTAGCTATGTAAAAGTTTCAAGAATATTGTTAGATTAATGTTTGGATTTGTCCGTGCGTATAAGTTTGGGGTTTTGCACATAAAATTGACAAACGTGAACACAAAGGTGACTTTTTCAGCATTTTAGAATTTTGAGAATTTTAGATTAAATCTGACATTTAGAGTGACCGATTTTCAATTTTTTAATTTTGTGTTGGAAAAACTGGTGAACAAAATGAAATTCTGCAATGTTACGTGTGCAATAAATTTCTTCCGCTGTCTGCAACAAGGAATTAATGACATTTCGTCTTCATGCAATCGTATTCATTTTCCTGAAGAAAAAAAATGCGTTTAGATAAGACCTGTCGCGTTACATCGTTATGCCGAAGATAAATATAAATTATATTCCTTTAACAGTGAACGGTGTGTGTTTCATTACTCCCGATCTTTGCTCTCTCGTACAGAAAAGATAAAGTATCAAACATAATCATCTTGTTAAGATTGCGCTACTGCACCATGAATGATGTAATTAAATATTAGGAAGACGTTAATAGTTCAAGACAACAAGGCTCCAGGAGTTATTAACTTATTCCGATAATGTTTCATACTTTAATTTAGACTCAAATTTGTGGTAAGTTTGCAAAATGATTTTCATTTTCTAGTTCATATTCCGCCTTTGTGTTTGGAAGTGTGCAAAGGAAAGTAAACAGTATGGAACGCAAACAGAACGAAGTATAACTAAGCAACCGCATTGCTTCCACATTAGAAAGGATAAATCAAAAATTATTTTAGTCTAACACTTAGCAAATGGTTTGATTTATATATGATGTAATACCAGCTCTAGGACTGTTAACGTGGAACGTTTACAAGCAACCATTTTTCTAAATTTAATTCTCTTTTGTCAGATTTGTAAAGACAAAATATAATTCTTATGGGTCACTTTGTGTAAGCTTAAACCTACAATTATTTCAAAATAAAATGAAAGAAACTAACCTTGCATTGTTAATTATTATTTATTCCTTCTTCTTTTTCATCATGCAAAATTTATTGAAGAAAAAATATATCCACGAACTCCGTATATGTAACGGATGCCGGCTGGTGTATCCATCCTTACTGTGGTTTGTATGTCTTGTCAAATAAAAAAAATCGCAAACGAGATGAAACTATCACTCGATTGCTTGAAGGCACATGCCGTTCACGCATGATAAAGAAGGTGCAATGACCAAGATTGTAATATATCCAGGTTAACTTAACTATACGATATCTCCCAAATGATAATCTTTTCATCAGCATGGGTTACAAAAGTATTATTAGAGCAAGTTATTGTTGTGAATCATTGCTTAATCTTACCGACGGAATATGAAATAAAATGGATATTTTATTACAAAGCAAACCCAACCCGAAAATGACTTTGGTATATTTTAAGTGTGCTGATTTTTATGTTATGACATCGGGTGACATAAGGAAGCCATGTTTGGTTCCTTTGGATTCATATAAGTGTGTCGATTTCCTTTTTTATATGAAGTCAGCCGACATAGGGAAACCAACATTCCTTCCCTTTTTACCTTTATACCGGGAGTCAAAATAAATTGAAACAATGGAACAGTTTTGAAAGTGACAGAATCTAGTGCGTCGTGCGCGAATATCGATATACGGTTCTTTTTGTGTGAGTATAACTACTTTTAATCATGTAATGCAAATCTGATGTAAAAAAAAATGTTGGCGTATGGCCGTTTACCTTTAAAGAAACAGACTGTCTCCTAAAAGTCTTGGTTTATTCAACCGATAAATTCATTGATTCTGATAAACTGTGATAACTTCAAATCAATAGGGCATCCACTACATATACGGAGTTTGTGGCTATATTTTTTCTTTAATAAATTTTGCATGATAAAAACAAGAGGGAATAAATAATAATTAACAATGGAAGGTTAGTTTCTTTCATTTTATTTTCAAAAATGTATGTTATTTCCTTTCTTATTTGTATGGAATAAAATAGCAAACATGATTGATGATATTGACTAGTAACAACAAGCTTTTAATTTACGTACGAATGCACTAAGACAACTTGAAAAAAAAAAGCAAACAATAAAATTAACAGGTAAGAGCTTCATATTGCAGCAAATAAACACTGACAAAATGCTCTCTCTCTCTCTCTCTCTCTCTCTCTCTCTCTCTCTCTCTCTCTCTCTCTCTCTCTCTCTCTCTCTCTCTCTCTCTCTCTCTCTCTCTCTCTCTCTCTCTCTCTCTCTCTCTCTCTCTCTCTCTCTCTCTCTCTCTCTCTCTCTCTCTCTCTCTCTCAGGTGTAATTGAGTATTTTATGCAGCTGTGTTACAACCTGAAACTTAAATTAAATATATTTGTTATAATAACTCTTAAACCCTTAGAAAAATGTATGCATATTCTGAAATAGAATGCTGTTTTATAAATCAGTATTGATAATTTGACCGGAAGTCATAAAATTAGAATGTCGTTTTGCAGATGCATATATTTTTCGCATAAAAATGTATATAAATAGTTTAATTAAAACGAGCAAGATATGTAATTTTGTGTTTTCTCTCATATATATGAATGCTACTAAGTATGGTTATTTTCTTGAAAGAATATCAAGAAAGTTTGTTTAAATTTAATTTTTTCTTAACACCTATCTTACATAGTACCTCCTTGTTCTTCGTAGAAAAAGAATTTGTTCAAACTATTGTTAAGTTGGGCCCAATTGTCTTGGGCCGAATTGTCTTTGGGCGAAATTTTTATAATACTGCATAAATGATACAACTTTCTCATCTCTCACCCTATTCAATCAAACAGCGTGAATTCACTTTTTCTGTTGAAAAGTGTCTTTCAAAAAAAAGAAAGAACCTTTTTTCCCATCATCACTCTTTTGGTTACATCCATATGCAATACAGTGCACCATATTTGCTGTACAAAAGCACGATCATAAGATATATGACATAGACATTTACGTACGGAAATGAAACAACTGAATGGCTAGGTTGAATAGATGGGATAAATGTACGTCATATCCGTTTTTGGCACGCGGAAACTACCGATTGTTTACGGAGATTGCTGAATAATTTTTTTCATTTGAAAAAGTGGATTTTAAGTCTAATTAAACATTTTTATGGTGTTCATACATAACAAATGCGTTTTGTTTATGACTAAAACTATATCACACGTTTGGACCGCTCTGGTGGCCTAGTTGTCAGAGTGTCCGCCTCGGATGAGGTAGCTCGTGGGTTCGAACCCCAGTCGAGTCATACCAACAACTTGCAAAACTGGTACTAACAGCTGCCTCGCTTGGCGCTCAGTATTAAGAGGTTAGTGTTAGGACTGGTCGGCCTGATGTCAGAATAATGTGACTGGGTGAGACATGATGATGCATGTCTGCGGCATGATGCCCCACTGCTAAATATCACTGTAAACTATCACACAGCAGACATCATAGCGATATGATTGAACAATTGTTAAAGCTACGTTAAAAATCTATAATAAAAAAAGCCACACATATCACACGTTTGTACAATATAGGTGGCCAGCGACCTTTAACCTACTGTACAATGTTCTATGAAATACTATGAATTCACAATTATTGATAGGATATTTTGGAAGATTTTCGTGGTGGCAATAAACAAGGAACTTTAAAAGTCCAACCCATAATGATTCTTCTAGGGAACGATAGGGCCTTATTCCCGAGTCCACGAAACTGTTGCCCCAAGAAAAATATCTTTAACTCAATACATAGTATTTGATGATTTAATATGGAAAGATGATAAAGAGATAAATGTTATTGCAAATGTTAATATGCGATATTGCACTGACATCGTTCTGCCCATTGATTATTAAACGGAATTCATCATCCATAAAATATTGTCAAGTTTAGAAGCTTGTCAATCATAGAAATTATTAGTAAACAGTGTTTAAAATTGCCAACCAAAATTCCTTTCTTCGAATCACATTTCAGAATCTTTAAAGACGTATCAGCGAGGATTTACAACATTGGTACATTATTTAAATGACTTCATCATTTCAATACCGCTAAAATGATATAGTCCTCGTTATTATTATTATTATTATTATTATTATTATTATTATTATTATTATTATTATTATTATTATTATTATTATTATTATTTATATGACAATTTTTAACGTTTATTTTATTTTATTGTTTTACTCACGTAAGGCACATTTGGACTGCTTGTCTTGATTGCAATGCTATCTTCTGATTGGTAGCTGAAGATAAAGCAACATCACGAGAGAAACTAGTTTTGACGGAGTTTGGCACTGACAGTGCGTGAACATTGCTGACTCCACGAGACAATATTGTCGTTCTCTGACAGTGTTCACACCATGTATCCATTATTTTCACGTAAATTCATAAAACGTGTGCACTTCCTTATCTGCCATTTTGATTCCCTAGCCACGTCTAATAACATTATTCGTCCCAAATAAATTATGAAAGCATATCTCGTTTTGAGCATAAGGATTTTTTCTTCAAGTAAAAGTGAAATTTCAACCATCTTTATTATTCTTTCATAAACAAATAAATCCATAAATAAACTGAAACATAAACAAATGGCTACAAAGACACATAGAAACATGTAATAATTGTATGTTTTCATGGGCTAAAATCATTTTGTTATCGTTGAAGTTAAAACTAATTTTGATTTACCAGCTGTTTTGGGGTCAAGCACTCGGTTTCGTGAAAAGTATTTTTACATAATATTATTGCATCCCTGAGAAATCGCGTATGAATACAACGGTACCTGTGTGCGTTTACATAAATATACCCACCCACCCATTATCCCTTCATATAAACCTAGCTACTATAGCATGTCAGACGAAAGTTATGATATACGTCTATTTTGAGTTGTGACCAGGCGATGTTATTGATCGCTGTCTGGATACTCGCTGGTTGTGATGCGGAATTGGATTAGCGGGGTGCTGGAGGCAAAGATGGATCGAATAGCAGTTTGTTCATAAAGCACAAGCTGACACCAGAAATGAGTCTGCAAATTATTGCTATACAGGTGGGTTATCTAATCTGTTAAAAGGTCGGGATTCAAGAGTAATAAATTTACAAAAACAATTTTTTGTCATTTTGGAAACAATCATTGGCTGTTTATATTTGTGTGTAAATTCGAACAGTAAAATATTAGAAACCCTTCCACTTCAAAGGACGATAAAGATCAATGCTCAAGACGGCGAAGAGAATCTCATCCTCACTTTGTGTGGATCAACGTGCTCGTATAGTTGATAATCTCAGTTTTGGGAAACTGTAATGTAACACTCCCAAGTTTTGTCAGGTTTAATAAATAATTTATTTCCCTGTAATACCAACTGAAAATGTAAACATAACGGTGTTGCAAATCCTAAATAATTCTAGAATTACTAACACGCATCCTGATGAATAAAGTTCTGAATAAACTTTAGTGGTATTCCAAAAAATTCAACGATGTTGATGTGCATGTGATGGCAAGTGTCGTGGCGATATGTCAACAGTCATTTATTGAATCACAATAATATATATAATCTTGGAGTATGCCCTAATTTTAATTTCAATATAATTCCAAATCTCTTTGTCCAGAATATAACTGAACACTTTTAATATCCAAAGAATAATAAATAATTTCACCCAAAATCAAAATATGAATACAGCAATACAAATAATTTCTGCCAAGATGTTTTCTTAGGAATTAATATTTTTCCAGTAAACATGATTTTATACGCCTACTTCCAGACATAGAAAATAAAATCCCTAAAATAAAAAGTGAAAAATTGAAAGTAACTTACAGTATGGTGAATCAAATCCTAAATAATCTAAATCCAAAAGTATCGTGTATTCCAAATGAGTTATGGTGGTATTCCGAATAAAGTTTAATCCTTTGTGTTTTTCTGCCAATAGTCTTGACGTATCACATAATATAATCCAAAATATCTTTAAATGAATTCAAAATAATTCCTAAACAGCTACTAGATCCTCAAGTCTGAGCACTTTGTAATTCCAATGAATAATTGAAATAAATTAATTAAATCCACACAATTATTTGACCCCTTTAAGACTGATTTTTATGACAGAAATCACTAATTTTCAGTAAATCATACCTAACATAAAATAAGAAGCAATGTCAGGTACAGAATGAAGATTGAATAATCATCTCTAAATGACACTATCTTTGTTAACAAGGTCAAATACTTTAGCGGCTATCTAATCAGGAATTAGGTCATCTGGTTTTCCAAGAAAACCAATAACCTAAACGCATCTCAATATGGTTTCTTCTATCCTGAAGCTATGTAATATGGTTATTAAAATATTATTAAAAATAATCACATCTCAAAGTACAAACATACAACTATGAAGAAAATTAGTGCTTAATATGTTATTTACTAAATCACCCGTACAATCTATAAAATATAATTCCCTTAGTTCTTCAATGCCCTTCTAACTCCATACAATTCGCTGTAATAATGATGTGCATTGCTCTCTCTCTCTCTCTCTCTCTCTCTCTCTCTCTCTCTCTCTCTCTCTCTCTCTCTCTCTCTCTCTCTCTCTCTCTCTCTCTCTCTCTCACACACACACACACACACATGATTCATATCCCTTTATGTCTCCCAGTAATATCAAAAAGTAACAGTGTTTTGCCGTTATTGTAGCGAAGATGTGTTTTATAATTCTGAGATCTTGTAACCCTCTCCGAGTGTAACCTTTATAAAAATACACTGTCTTTCAACAATGAACACATCCAGAAGATTGTGAGATATCGCAGTTTGTATTTCTTTGAAATCGATAATATATTTCATCAGATTAATGTACTCCGGTAGAAAATTTATCATCCAATTTCCTGGTTCCAAGTCTTTTACAACCTCTTCCTCATCTAGTATTCTCTAAACTCCATTTTTGGTAAGGCATATATTTTCACAACAAGACATGACTGATGCCAGCAAGATTCTTTTCGATTTTTGCATTGATCACATAAATTTTATTTTTCTAGATTTATCAGTATCTCTACTGATGTTAAAGATTTTATGAAGCTTGTTTAAATTTATCATTATCAAAAGAGATGTTTGTTTTCAAAACATGCATTTCTGTAATCAGTGACCGCCCATAATTTATGTGCAGGGAATTAGGGAGGAGGAGGGTATTAAAAAGTTACGACTCAGTGTTAAGAAACATTTAAATTAAGTCATTGAGTCAAGTACAGAGACGTAGCGAGGGTGTGTCAAGACACCTCACGTGCCTTAGACGCCACTTGAAGAGGTGGGAGACAGATTTTAATACTTTCAAAGTTTTGATAGGGGCGCAATTTTAGCTCATGCCGTGGTTCTTGCCGTGAGCGCCAATTTGGTAGGGGCGCAATTTTACTTGTCGTGTGCACCATATGTCATCGCCACGCCTCTGGTCAAATAAAAGATATTTTTTGGGGTTGATTCTGATATGAAATGAGGTGATATGAAATTTAAAGTGGTATCATGTTGAACGTGATTGTCTGTAGGCACAAAAAATTCAATATTTATATTCAATATTTCTCCATCAATTATACAGTTCATGAGTTTGCCACAGTACCCAGGAACCAGGAAACGGAAACCGCGAAAGGCTGGGTCGATGAGTAACACAATCTCGTTTCAATGAATGTTAATGCTACAGCTAGACTGAGCTGCATACAACAGTGAATCCGTTTCATAAAAATTGTTCCCATTTATTATGGACGATAACTTAGGGTGTATTAAAACTGTCTGTTTTATAGGACATCTGATTGTCAATCTGATAGTTGCTTCCCCCGCTGCTGTTACACGCCACATTAGCTAAATCTATCTCTAATCTCAGTAGAAGAAATGAAGAATATATATGTAGGAATGCAATTCGGTTTTCCTCTACTTATGTGGTTACTAGGTGTGTCATGTGATCAGAAGTTAGACATCACTGTGTTTTCATTCCTTATGATGTAGGATTTGGATGGACCAAATAAGGATTGAAGTGTAGACAAATACTATTATCTTCATTGCTTTAGGACTACAGTCTAGACAATAGCATGTTCCAGTATGGGATTGTGTTAATATTACAGTCTATGAATGCAGAGATCTTGGAACCAATATATAGCAAGTTGGTAAGTACCTTTTAACAGACCTTATCATTTGTTCGGGGACAAATAAAAATATGTGATTAATTGTTGAAATTTGATTATTACCTTTTTGTAGCTGCGTTTTAAATGAAATTCTCCTACTTGAGTTGCGTATCCTTGTCTCGTTTTTGTGAATG